CCCACATCCCGCACCCTACATCCTACATCCCGCATCCTACATCCCCACATCCCGAATCCCGCACCCTACATCCTACATCCCGCATCCTACATCCCCACATCCTACATCCCCACATCCTACATCCCCGCATCCTACATCCCACATCCCGCATCCTACATCCCCACATCCCGAATCCCGCACCCTACATCCTACATCCCGCATCCTACATCCCCACATCCTACATCCCCACATCCTACATCCCCACATCCTACATCCCCACATCCTACATCCCACATCCCGCATCCTACATCCCCACATCCCGAATCCCGCACCCCACATCCCGCATCCTACATCCCCACATCCCGCACCCCACATCCTACATCCCGCTCCCCGCATCCCGCATCCTACATCCCCACATCCCGCCTCCCACATCCCCACATCCCGCACCCTGCAACCCACATCCCACACCCTGCATCCCACGTCCCACACCCCGCACGTGCCGGGGTGCCAATCGCTGAGCTGGGTGCGAGCCGAGGAAAGCGGAACAGGAATGAGTTTTACACATTAATGCACATTCCAGTCAGCTGGGGGCGTCATGTCTCCATGGTGATTCCCCCTTCTCATCATCCCCACCGTGAATGGCTGACACACTGCCTTGCTGGAAGCGATACGTCCTCATCTCTTAATTAACCACCCCCCCCGGGTCCATTTTGATCCTGAAATATTCTTGATAAGGGCCATTTCATGCAGGAAGTCAATCTGTCAATCGTGGGGGGGGGGGGGTGCGCAGGAATGCGAGTGTTGCAGTTATTACAACTCAGCAGGAGCCTGATTAATTGCTGGTGTTTGTAGTCATGGTGATATTCCGGCATTGTCCGTACCTGAGAAGGAATGGGCAGCTCTGGGTTGTGCCCGGTCGTTTTGCATGGCACCGTGAGCCACACGGATTGCCCTGTGCGGGGGCGGGGGGGGGGTACAATTTGCAGCCACTCATCCCACGGTGAGTCACTTTGGTTTGAAATCTGAGTTTAGTAAGAAATAAATATCCAACTGTTCTGTTGGCCGCTTCCCGCACTCGTCTTCGCCTGTTTCTGCCATGTCCCAACAAGAGTTGGCTCGGTTTACGATATTGCCCCCCCTTCCCCCCCCCAACCACGGCAGTAATACAAAGTTCATCCAGTGCCTGTGTTTCTCTGTTACTTGACCTTCTGCCGTGCTCTGAATGCAGCCCAGTCCTGCCCTTTGTCCTGCCCCACCCCCTCTGCTTCTGGAGACCCAGCAGACGTCGGCCTCCATACCCGCGCCTGTGGGCCTCCATACCCGCGCCTGTGGGCCTCCNGGCCTCCATACCCGCGCCTGTGGGCCTCCATACCCGCGCCTGTGGGCCTCCCCTCAATGCAGCGGCTGAAGCCGAAAGCCGCATTTCACCCGGCTCCTGTCGGCACTTGCGTCCCTGTGCATCTGCGCAGACGTTTCATCTGTCTCACTTAGCCGGTCTGTCCCGTTATGTTTGCCTGTGTCAGAATTAATTTCTGGTCTGCAGTTTTTAATCTGATAATCTGATCGCTGCTCAGCCCCTTGCTTCTGAGGCGGTGGGGCTGGGATAGTGGCGGTGGGGGTTGTGTTTGAATGACATCTACACTGCAGTGAAGCTGGTTTGAGGATCTGCAGGCCTCAGCCCAGACTGAGAGCGGACTCTAGGCACAGGGTGTGACAGGACTGACGGCGTGAGACTCCTCTGGAACAGCGTCATTCTCCTTCAGAGGCTTTCAGGTGACAGCCCTGATTATTCAGGCTGAACGTCACCTGCCAGATGTACACCCCCGGGGGCCTCCCTGCAAAGCACCGTCCATCTGTCCCGCTTCGTCCTCGTAGGACCGTTGTTTTGTACTTGGATGGAGATCCTTAGGTGTGCTGGATCGTTTTCCTTGTGTCGCCCCAGATCACCAGGTAGTCGACCCTGTCATATACCTTCAAGGACTTTGCTTAGACGTGGATCATCTTTGAATTATCACTGTTTTTGGATAATAAAATGAATAATACATATATTGTGCAATGATTTACCTCTGGTATGCTCTTTCAAGGGCCTTAATTTGAGGTAGCCATTTTGGCTAATGCTAGCACATTGCTCTGCTTGTATAAGGCATCTCATTATGCAAAGTCCACAAGATATTTTATCTGTGGATCACAAGATGTCAAGGCAGAGTGCGTTTGAAATCAATTACCTTGAGGAATAGATTCAAGGTTCATGCAGGTTTTGAGAGAAATGATTGGTTTTCTGCTGGTGGATAGTATGGTGATAGGAATGACCTATCACACCTTAAGGAGAACATCTGCTCTCATGGTATGTCCTTGTGTGTAATTTAAAAAGCAGGGCAGCTGTTATTAACGGAAAGGTGGTGTTTGCTTTCGAACTGCTGCTCATCTGTAAAGTGATTTCAGTGCATAATTACATGATTCCTATAATTTTAATGGAAGCTAACTGGCTGATTTCCTTGGTGTCAAAAGAATGAGAGGTTTGATCTTCTAAGGACTGATTTCCAATCTGCACAGTGACTCTGGGTGTCTTCAAGGGCTTCAGGAATCCTCTCTGACAACTTACTTTATAAGTATCTTCTTTCAGGGTAATTCATTTTGATAATTAGTGACGTTCCTTTAAAGAACTTCAGCCATATTGCTGACTGGCCTGTCAGGACCCACTTGCTGCCATCCACTCTGCCTGATCTGCACTGTAGCTGCCATCCACTCTGCCTGATCTGCACTGTAGCTGCCATCCACTCTGCCTGTTCTGCACTGTAGCTGCCATCCACTCTGCATGATCTGCACTGTAGCTGCCATCCACTCTGCCTGATCT